TGTGTGTGTGTGTGTGTGTGTGTGTGTGTGTGTGTGTGTGTGTTTTGAGGAAAGGTAATGAGTTTTGTTCTAGACATGTTTAGATTCTAATATCCAAAAATGTCCAAAAGGCACTTGGTGATGCAAGACTGGTACTAGGGAGAGAGATTAGGGTTAAATATAGATATCTGGAAACCATATCAAAGAGATGATAATCCAATCCATGAGAACTGATGGGATGAGAAAGAAAGAGAGATACAGAAAGAGTCCTGCACCGAACCTGGATGTCTGACCACAGTTAGGGGGCATTATAGGGGTGATTAGATTACCTAGGGAAGTTCACTCAGGATGAGATAGGTAGGAGAAGAACCAAGAGAAAGCAGCAGGAGGAGGAGAGAAAGGAGAGAGTGTCTAGAAAGGGAGGGAAATCAAGAATGTCCAATGGTACAGAGACTGAGAAAGGGTCACTGGATTTTAATAGTTAAGGGACCATTGATGACTTTTGAGAGAACAATTAAAGTTAAGGAGTGAAGTCAGAAGGGATTGAGAAAAATAGAATGAGAGGAAGTAAAGGCACATTGGGTGTAGACTTTTTTTCTTTCTAGGAGCTTGGCCATGAAAGAGAGAAGAGTTATAGGATGACAGCTTTGGGGGTGACAGGGTCAAGATTTTTTTTTTTTGTATTTTTTTGTTTTTAGTAGGAGAGACTTGAACAGGTTTGTAGGTAATAGGGAAAGATCCAGAAGCAAGGGTGAAATTGAAGATTGGAGAGAAGGAATGTTTGCAGGGACAATCTGCTGAAGGGTGCAGGAGGAGATGAGATCAAGGCTATAAGAAGAGGGATTGGCCTTTGTGAAGAGAAGGTCCACTTCTTCATCAGGGAGTGGAAGAGTGAACAGAAGATGATGAAAAGAGGAGAAAAGGCACCTTATAGGTACTGCATAAATAGAAAATGATGACATTATATGTTGAGTAAATTTCAGAATATTTTTTTTCAGAATTTTCAGAATAAAGTTATATGGCAGGTTCTTTTCTAAGTGGCAGAAAGTGGGAGGTATAGCAGGCTAAAGGAAAGGTATGGTATAGTGTGTTAGTTTGCTGTTCAATCATTTTTCCAGTTGTGTCTGACTCTCTGTGATCCCATTTGCAGTTTCCTTAGCAAAGATACTGAAGTGGTTTGCCATTTCCTTCTCCAGCTCATTTTACAGATGAGGAATAAACAGGGCAAAGAGGGCTAAGTGACTTGCCCAGGGTTGAACAGCTAATACTAAGTGTCTTACGCCAGATTTGAATTCATGAAGACAAGTCTTCCTAACTCCAGGCCTTGTGCTCCATCCACTACACTACCTAGCTGCCTCTTAAAGTCAATGAGAGAGGACTAAAAATATTGTCTAGAAGCAATGAGAGCAAAATCCATTCTTCTCTCCTAGTCCAATTTGATGCCCCCAAAGCAAGATTAGGATTAGTACAAATCTCTAATTAAACATTAAACTTGTGTAAGGATTTATGGCCCAAGGAACTATGCTAAATTGTAGGAAGGAATGAGACAGAGTCTCTCTGCCCTTAATACGTTCTTAGTTTAGGCTGGGAAACAGGGATAGCATTAGTCAGTATACACATTAGCATATAATTAACCTGTAGGAAAGATCCTTCTACCAAAGTCCTATTCAAAAACCTCAACATAGTAAAATGAATGTGGATTCTTGAAGACTGACATGTGAGACCTGGTAGTTCCAGCAAGTTCTACCAAGCTAGAAAGTTCAGGCCTGTTGATGAGCTTAGTTTAGTTAAGTTTAGAAAGTTTCATCACTACCATTGGAGGGTTAGGACAAGAATGTTTTTTTTTTTTCTCTCTGCCCCGGCAGCTCATTAAATCACCAGTTTAAGCTTGCAGGAAGCCCAGTTATTATTTCTCCAAAGACTCCTCCTATAGATGACATCACCATATCCTTGAACAAGGAGAGTTAAAAAGTGTTTTTGGAGGAGAAAGAGATACCTTTCACCTTGTTGGGTGGGGAGGCTGGAGAGGGAAAGTCTTATTAAAGAGGTGTCAACTAGGCTTGGCCCTGATGCAAAGATAGGAATTGATAAAACAAAAGGGGAGAAATTCTGGGAAATTTATCTTAGTTATTACCTTAGTTATAAATTATTAACTTGGTTATTACCTTAGTTATTATATGACCTATGTTTTTTGATTAAGGCAAAATAATCAGAGACAGGCAAAAGCCAATAGAGTAGTAAGTTGACCTGTTCATATCATAGAACCGTAATTGAATTAGTTGCCTTACTTTTATATCCTCAGGGCTTAGCATAGTACTTGGCACATAGTAGGGGCTTAATAAATGCTAGTTGACTGATTGACATCAATTATGCCAAAATTAGCTTAAATTCAATTGTTTGCTTTTTGGTCAGCCAATTTCACAATGATGAGAAGACATGAAATGAGGGCTAGCTAGGTGGTGCAGTGGCTAGAGCACTGGCCCTAGCGTCAGGAAGACCTGAGTTCAGATCTAGCCTCAAACACATGATACTCACTAGCTGTGTGACCCTGGGCAAGTCACTTAACCATGATTGCTTCGCCAAAAAAAAAATACATGAAATGGCAAAAGAATAAAAATCAATTGACTTGTTCATCTTGAATAATTAAGTTTATTAGAATGTAAACAGATCATGGGAACATAAATTCTTTCATGTGCAGAATACATTTCTATAACAAGACATAAAAAGTCCAAAATTTGAGGTTTTTAATGCTGAACTTTTAGAATGAAAATTAGGAATGAGCTGGAAGTTGCTATTCAGTGTCTGCAGGCCTACTTGGGGGAGATCTTGATGGCTTGCAGATGGAGGCAGGATTTGTATAGATTCTTGATATATTCTGAGTTGATATGGGGGCCATCAGGTTGCTTAGCAGAAAGTGGGGCAGCAGGTGGAGCGGCAGGTGGTGCGGCAGGGGGCTGGCTGGCAGCAGGGGGGTCGGCAGCAAGGAGACTGCACAGAAATGGGCTGGCAGCTGGTGGAAGCCCAGCAGCAGGGTCTACAGACCACAGCTGTGCAGGAGGTGGGGCAGCAGGAGATGGGGCGGCAGCAGCCCTGCTGCACACTGCAGGGGTCACAGCAGGGAGGGCGGCAGCAGGTGTCACAGATAGGGCGATTGCACCTGGGCACGCAGCTCACTGGGCGGCACACAGTGGTTTGGAAAGAGACTGGCAGGCAGCACCTGGGTGGGCAGCAGGGCTGGCCGCAGCTGGAGGAGACAGAGCCACAGCAGGACATGGTGTTGGTTGGTTCTGGTTTGGTTTGAGTAGTAAGGAGGAGGTGGTTTTTCAGGTCTGAATGCCCTGTCCTGTTCTGGGCCCTTTATATACCCTGGGCAGGTATGGCTGGACTCCTCAGAAGACAAGAACATTTCCATGTTAATGGTTTTTGCCAATTAAGTGAGAATTTTTGTTTGACTAATGGTGATGTGCAATACCCAATGTCATTAAGAAAAAATTGTGCTTCCTTCTTGAATTTGGACTCATCTAATTTAATTTTTGACACCAAGGTCAGAGCTTCATAGCTCATTTTCAAAAAATTTACTCAACATATAATGTCACCATTTGACTCATTACCTCATATTCCTCTTGCTATGCGATGCTATTTTGGTAAGTAAACTACACTGTGTTGAATAGTCAAGAATCTACCTTTTGTCACATGAATGTGATTCAATGATTGTGAGATGACAACCCTTCCTGTGAAACTCATCCATGTTTTCCCATAAATTCACCACGGGGGGATTTTAGATAATCTTTCTCTAGATATCAAGTGAATACCAAAAGAGAATGCAGGAATTTGGTTGTCCCTCATTCTTACTATGTGACTCGTCCAACTTTTTGTGTTCGTACATTTCTTTGATGACATCAGAGAAATGCTATTTTCCTACACAATTCCTCATTTGCAATGTGTAGTAGAAAGAGTTGAAGGATGGATTAAGAAGTGTCCTTTTAGAAACTTTCCTAAAATGGCATTATTTCTTTAAAGAAAAAAAGACAAGCTCCATAAACTGAAGCTCATTCTTCTTAAACTACAGTTCTTAATCTCAAAGGGGCTATTATGATGATTGGGCAGTCAGGTGGTACAGTGAATAAAGTGGTGGGCCTGAAGTCAAGAAGGCTCATCTTCCTGAGTTCAAATATGGTCTCAGGCACTTACTAGAATGTATCATGGGCAAGTCATTTAACCCTGTTTGCCTCAGTTTCCTCATCTGTAAAATGAGCTGGAGAAGGAAATGGCAAACCCCTTCAGTATCTCTGCCAAGAAAATCCCAAATGGGGTCATAAAAAGTTGGACACAACTGAAACGACTGAACAACAAAGTATAATGGCTGCTCCTCTTACTATGGACCAATATTTAAAAAAAAAGTTCTTGTGTGTTCATTCAGGAAATATTAATTGACTCTGTGAAGATGGTATGCATTAAATATAATTGAGACATGTAATTCATGAGATTCATGAGTAGAATAAGAATTTATTTTCCTAAACCAGCTCAGTTCAGAAATGGTTCTTAGGAGATAAAATTGGTCTCCATGATCACAGAAGAGTAAGCCATTTTCTGTGGTATATACCTTTCATAAATCTTGAAAGAATAATTGTTTGATAAAAGTACTTTTCTTGAAACTCACCAATATAAATCATCAATAACATAATAAGACTGACTTTCTGTGTGTTTGCATGTGTTTAACCAACACAACCAAATTTAAGCACTTAAATGAGGGCTGTCCTTTTCATATCATTCTCCTTAGAAGATCTGATTCCCCCCCCCCAATACTACTACTGTTAACATAAAGTATTCTGGAAATCCCCAGTTAAAAAGGGCTTCAGATTGTTTATAAACCACACGGGAAAAATGACATATCTTGTACGTTGTCGATTCTTCCTCTAAACAAAGGTGCTGTTGCCTAGATTATCTAGACCAGAGCTCAATGCATTAAAGTTGGGTTTTTTTTAAAAAAAAACCTTGGATTATTTTAAAAAATCAAATATATTCTGAAAGGGTACACATTTGATAGGCAGCATGGTATTTGGTAGACAGTGTCTTGGACTTGGATCCTAGAAAATCTGGTTAAAAATTCTCCCTCAGTTATTGATGGGATTATATATTTTGCTGGAAGGGACTTTTGAAACTAAATTTAAATGCTTCATTTTACAAATAAGGAAATGGAAGTCTAATGAAGTTGAGTGACTTGTCCAGGATCACACAGCTAATAAGTCATGAGGTGGGATTCAAACACAGGTCTTGCATTTTTGAAGTCCAGAGATCAATCTGCTATTACCACTCTGCCTCTCACAAATATTGGTTGTGTGATCATAGGCAATTCATTTAAGCACTCAGAGTTTCAGTTTCTTTGTCTATAAAATGGAGATAATCAGATTTCTACTACCTTCCTCACAAGATTGCTGAAAGGTGATTTATAAGCCTTGAGGCATTATAGAGTTGTGAATTTTTACTTGCCACTATCAGGTATACTCAAGAAAATGTGAGGCTGGTTTTGAAGATATTCCTCACAGGAGTATCAGATATGTATTGGGCAGTGACAATATCATTGGAATATATCTCTGGCTCCCCCAAGGGGACAATTTTGTAGGGGATAGAAATTGTTTAAATTATTTTTTTAAGAGATGCCTCTCTTCCTCAGTAGTCACACTATTTTATTACATATATTCATATCTGGGTCAGACATTGCATTATTTAATATGATAAATTTTAAGTATTCAATTTATCTACCACATAATAAAATATAGGTTATGTTTTTGTAATATGTTTTATCTCATTTGGGAAGATGTGGAGGCCCCAGCAGTTCCCATAATAAGAAACATAAATTGTGAAACACCAGGAAGTAACATAACCTTTATGTAGGTATCCAAATCTCAAACTTCCCTTTTCCCTTGCCTACGTAAGTTCAGAGTCTGGTCAGCATGAGTTTTAAACTACACTACGCTAGCATTTGAAATAGCATGAGATGGCATTGTGGGAGGCTCTCTTGTACATATGTCAGAGAGACTCAGACAAGTCCTTGGGTGTTGCCTTGAATAAAGCACTATTTTGTGGACAACTTGAACATTACACCTTGGTGGGTAATTGATATTGTGACACACTGCTTTCCTCCCAGCTTAAGAAAGGCAGCACGTGAGTCATTTTGCACTTCTTAATATTATTGCAATGCCTTAAATATCACATGACAGATCGACAGAGTTGGGATATACATTTGCACAGGTGACATACTACAGTAAAAGAAGCCATTGATATTTTTAGGTCATTTAACTCTTGGAACATAAAATACCAAAGCTCCAAACTCTCTAAAAATTACAGTTTTTCTATGGTGTAGTATAGCGTAGTATTCTTTAAGATAGCTTTGGTAAGTCATAGATTCTGTCTAACTGGAGGTCTTCCAACAAAGGCTACATGGCCAGTTGTCAAGGACATTATAGAGAAGATTCTACTCCAGGTACAGGTTGGGCTATTTGGTCTCTGAGATCTCTCCCGCCTCTGAGATTGTGTAACTAATTGTATGATTAATTCATCTCACATCATGATATGCCTGGCATTCACAAGCACAAGTCTACATGATGAGGAATTAGAGTATGCATTTTTTCATTAATAAAAGGTATATGTGTCAACATTTTGGGCAGTGTCTAACGCTCTTTGAAAGCCATGCTTCCTAGCAAGTCCAAGGTGAGGTCTTGAAAGAATGTGCTGAACATAAATTGCCTTAAAATAGAATAGACTAGACACATTCATTGTGTTGATTGACCTAACTTTGCATATGGAAGATTTTAAAGTTAAAATGTTAAAAAATAAGACCATTAACATTTTTTTTTTGTATGGGGATTGGGGTTAAGTGACTTGCTCACAGTCATACAGCTAGGAAATATTATGTGTCTGAGGCCAGATTTAAACTCAGGTACTCCTGACTCCAGGGCTGGTGCTCTATCCACTGTGCCACCCAGCTGCCCCGACCACTAACATTTTTAAATACGAAGGGGGAGTTTTATTTACCCAAAGGTACATGTACTAATTCCAACTCTTACTATAATCTATAGTATCATATCTCTAGATATGTATACTGATGTACTAACTCTGGTATGATTGGTATACCTTACCATAGATGTATTCTTTATTGTTCAATCTTTTTAGTCATGGCTAACTCTTCATGACCTCTATTTGGGGGTTGTGTAGCAAAGGTACTGGAGTGGTTTGCCATTTCCTTCTCCAGATCACAGATGAGGAAACTGAGGCAAACAGGGTTAAATGACTTGCCTAGGGTCATGCAGCTAATAAGTGTCTGAGCCAGATTTGAACTCAGGAAAATGAGTCTTCCTGGCTCAGGCTCTATGCTGTATCCATTGTACCACTTAGAGTTGCATAATGAAACAAACTTTTGTAAATTAGATCCTATTTTAAAGAACTCATTAGAAAAAATTCACGATCATTCCTTGCTTAAAGAAAATGATAATTTTACTACAATTATTATTTTTAAAAAGCCAGTTGCTGAATTTGTCTACTTACTGCAGATGTTTGTCTATAGGCTTATTCAAACTGACCATGTCTGGACAAGATATCGCAGAATAGATTTTCATTATTGTATTCTGTTTGTTATGTCCTGTGCAATTTTGTGCCTTGTAAAATTTAACTGTAACTTGTCCCTTGTATTGTTATTTCATGGAAATGGAAGAAGGATTCCCTATAGAGGTAAAGTTTTATAGATGCTTCTTATGTGGATGAGTTTGTTGATTGAGTTAAACCAGAAAAGAACATAACATTTCCTTGATGAGATCCATAACTTCTTAAAACGATCAATAAACAGAAAAAAAAAGTGGATGAAAAAATACTTATTGCTCAGTCTAAACTATGTAGTTTCAGGTACAGCTCAATGAGTTTAGTCAATCAGTACACATAGCTTGAACAGAAGAATAAATGAAAAAAGTATTTATTAAATTCTTACTATGTATCATGCACTACGCCAAGCCCTGAAGATACAATTAGAAAAGTGAAAGTCTTTGCTCTCAAGGGGTGCACAATTGGGGGAGACAACACTTCTTAAAGGAGAGACCCTTAAATGAAGGATCAGTTGCAGGGTATAATAACAGTGAAGATGGTAAGGTCCAGTGGTCCATAATGCACAGTGACAGGGAAGATGGTAAGATTTGGTGGTCTAATAACTTCCCAGATTGCTCTTAATGAGTACTGTGAATGCCATGGTCCACACCTAGCCAGGAGGATCACTGACAAGAAAGTTGGGGAGAGGGGAAATCTTGGTAGGATCTGGATAGATCTCAAGGGCTGGTTGAGACAGTTGGAAGGTCTGACCACTAACTCTTCTGTTCAGTTCCCCAAGGCCTGACAGATACTGCAAATGAAAAGTGAGTTGAGCCTAGAATTGACCACAGGGAGGAGTAGGAAGGATTTCATTTGGGACATCATACAGTGTTTTCAATAATGCCAAGTGCCTTCCTATTTCCAAAGTTCATTTGTTTTACAGCACTATTCTCATAAAGATCCCCTATGGTGGTGAATCATAAACAACTAGGATCATATAGTAATTAAAAAGGCAGGCAAAGGAAGGACATATGATAGCGATGTAAATAGGATGTGGTGCGTTCCCAATAACATCACACCTGAGAAGGGACAAGAAAAATGTCATCAAAAGGAGGTATGATCAACAAAAGAGCTGAGTGGGTGAGGTGGTAGAAATAAATCATAACAGATGGACAGATACAATGTTGTTTTCGTGTCTCCAGAAATATCCGTAGGGAGAGCCTTGAAGCACATCGATGAGCTCCTCTGTAGAAGACTTAGTGGAAGCCCTGGACACAAATTACCCGAGGGAAGAAGGGACAGACTAAGTGGTGGAGGAAATATCCACGTAGGAGATCACAGCTATTATTTTAATTAATGTCAGAGGCAGAAGATGAACACAGCACTACTCAATCTCTTGCCAGTTTCTCTACTCAATTAGAGGAAGCCTTTCTTAAATCTTGGAAAGAGTATTGTCACCCCCAGGCAATAATTACATAAATAAAACCATTGGGTTGAGAATAGAAGCATCTCTTTAGGCAGAAGAGAGCAAGTTATTCTTTGTTGATAGTCATTACCCAGTTGATTGATATTTAATAGTGTGTAACAAAGCCCAGTTTGATACAGTAAAACACCCCAAACTTCCCTGAGTAAAGAGGTTTCATAAATGCCAACTGATAATGTGAAAGGCAACAGATAGACTGCTTAAAGTTGGGATACTCCAAAGAGAAATTTCTTGTGAGACATGCTTCCAAACAGCTTTCTGCAAAACAGAGAGAAGACGGCAAATAACTGACGTTTGTAGATCGCACTTTAATGCTTGCAAAGTGCTTTACAAGGGGCAGCGAGGTGACGCAGTGGATAGAGCACCAGCCCTGAAATCAGGAGGACCCGAGTTCATATCTGTCCTCAGACACATGATACTAGCTGTGTGACCCTAGGCAAGTCATTTAAACCCAATTGCCTCACCAAAGCAAACAAAAAAAACCAAAGTGCTTTACAAATATTATCTCATTTTATCTTCACAACAGCTGTCGTGAAGATGGTGTTGTTATTACCGTTTTACAGCTGAGGAAACCAAGGCTCTGAAAGTTTTCATGACTTGCTCAGGATTATACCACTAGTAAGTACCTGAGTCTGGATTTGAACTTGGGTCTTTCTGACTCTTAAGTATAATCATCCACTGTAACACCTAGACCTTGTGTGATCTTAAGCAAATCATTTCTATTTTCTTAGTTTCAGTTTCTTAACTAGAAAGTTGAGGAATTTGGATTAGACAAGCTTATTATTATTATTATAGTATCATTAGTATTAGCATTTATATGGCACTTGAATATTTGTTTGTTTTTTTAAAATTTTTTTTAGTGAGGCAATCGGGGTTAAGTGACTTGCCCAGGGTCACACAGCTAGTAAGTGTCAAGTGTTTGGTCTGAGGCCAGATTTGAACTCAGGTCCTCCTGATTTCAGGGCTGGTGCTCTATCCACTGCGTCACCTCGCTGCCCCGCACTTGAATATTTGCAAAACATTTTACATGTTATCACCTTTGATCCTCTCAAAACTCTGTGAGGTACATTCTATTATCATTGTCCCCATTTTGCAGATAAGAAAGATAAAGCTGAGAGAGATTAAATGGCTTGCCCAATGCCATGCACTGGTAGTAAGTAAGTAAGCAAGTAAGCAAGTAAGAGGCAGAGTTAGACTTCCATGCCTAGCATTCTCTCCATTCATCTACAAGGCACCACTTAATTGAAAAGAACAAGAACCACATTGTTTCTATGCTGGAAATCACAAGTTTATTGGAGAACAGAGAGACAGTATAATCTAAGAGATGTGCTGTTATGAGGATAGGCGGGGCAGGTCAATGAGCATCACTCAGTTGATGAAGTAATCAAGTCTATTAGGGTGAAGAAGAACTCTTCGTTCTGATTAAAAAAGATGGATTTCCTAATTCAACACCAATAAACATCATGAAAAACGTTAGTGATTTCTTTCACAATCTCTCCACCCAGATCTCCAATTGGCAGACATTTGTTATAGTTTGAAAAAAGAAAAAAAAAGAAGTATTTCATCTATAATTGGATTAGTTCTTGTGAGATGATCCATAGATGAGCTGCTTCGCAAGAAACCACATGCTGTGCCTCATGGTGGAGGGTGGTGGTGTACTTGTAGGAAAAAAAAAGGTTGCTTTTTGTTAGTAGCTGGTGAGGCTTAGCAGAAGGTGGGGCAGCAGGTGGAGCGGCAGGTGGTGCGGCAGGGGGCTGGCTGGCAGCAGGGGGGTCGGCAGCAAGGAGACTGCACAGAAATGGGCTGGCAGCTGGTGGAAGCCCAGCAGCAGGGTCTGCAGACCACAGCTGTGCAGGAGGTGGGGCAGCAGGAGATGGGGCGGCAGCAGCCCTGCTGCACACTGCAGGGGTCACAGCAGGGAGGGCGGCAGCAGGTGTCACAGATAGGGCGATTGCACCTGGGCACGCAGCTCACTGGGCGGCACACAGTGGTTTGGAAAGAGACTGGCAGGCAGCACCTGGGTGGGCAGCAGGGCTGGCCGCAGCTGGAGGAGACAGAGCCACAGCAGGACATGGTGTTGGTTGGTTCTGGTTTGGTTTGAGTAGTAAGGAGGAGGTGGTTTTTCAGGTCTGAATGCCCTGTCCTGTTCTGGGCCCTTTATATACCCTGGCTAGGTGTTGTTGATTCCCCAGGAACTTTTCCTTGTTTTGGTTTATGTCTGCTGAAATGCAAGCATTGGTTGGTTGTCTTCTAGTTTCCTTTGAAGTCTTCTTACACTCAAGAAAGATTATTTAATTAGGCCTCATTCCATTCTGCCATTTACTTCTAAAATCAGAACCTAATGGCTGGACTTCAAAGACTCCAGGTAGCACAGCTGTAATTATTCTTTATTATTTAAGTATATTTTTTGTCAGGTGATGTACTGATATTCCAGGTAAGGCCAGAGAGAATTCAAAGATATCTTATGACTAAGGATGGAAGTATTTTTCCAAGATGTCCAGGTTCTCTTCTATTTCAAAGTGGAAAGGAGCCTCATTGGATATCCAGTCCTTCCTATGCCAGGAGAGTCCCAGGCAAAAGGAGTAGGTGACATCACTATTCTCTTAGTCACTTAAGCTTGAAACTGGAGTGACATCTGACTCTTCCCTCTCCCCACCCCATATCCCTCAGCTGCCATATTCCACTGATTCTATTTCCAAAATATCTCATATCTGTTTCCTTCTCTATACTCAAAGAATCACCATGAAGATCAGGTCCTACGTCTGAGCTATTGTTTGGTGGAAACTTTTGTTCTCCTGACCTCCATTTTCTCCCCTTTCTCATTTACCTTTTATATTATTCACCATTTAATGTCTTGAATGCACAGGTTTCACCATGTCATTCCTCTGCCCCCAAAACTTCAGCTGCCTTTTAATAGGTAGCTAAAACCCTTTCCATGGTTTCCTCATACTACTCCCCTTTACGTATTTATTGTTCCAGCTAGATTGAGCTATTCACCTTTGGCCAGCTTTGTCCTCACCTTTTCTATCTCTGTTTGCTCCTTTGCTCAAATTGTGTTTGCTTAGAATGGGCAAGTCACAGCTTTGCCTGATGAAGTTCTCTTCCTTCCGGGCCAATTTAGGAGCCACCTTTTCTGTGGAATCTTTCTTTGACACACAGACAACCAGCTAAAACCCCCTTTCCAAATTTCTCTTAACAATTTGCTACTTTGTATCAAATCCAGTTTTGTTCATGTTATTTCTCACCTATTATACTCCTTGAGAGTAGAAGCCATGTTGTAGCCATTTTTAATTTGCAATTTATATTTTTATTATATATATGTATATATAGTATATATGTGTGTGTGTGTGTGTGTGTGTGTGTGTGTGTATAAAATTTCCAGGGCCTAGTACAGCACCCTAAATGTTGAAGGCACTTAATAAATGTTTATTGTTAAATTATGCCCTTTGAACATGCATAGGAAAGGTATGTTGATTTCCAAAGACCAGGAACGGGCTTCAACACTCCTGTTCATTTTTCCTTTCTTCATATCTATGACAGAATGTTGAAGAATGGCCTCTCTGATACAAATTTAGGGCAGAGTTTGGGTGAATGACATGTAGCAACACTAGGACAGGTTAAAATTATTTATTGATATTCACAGTAAAACACATGGTAGGAGAATATAGACAGATGAACAGAAATTCAGTCAGGGAAAGAGTCACATGTGGCTTCCTTTGCCCACACTGTCCCATAAGACAGCATGATGTGATGTGCTGGTATCCTAGAGGAGCAGAGGGATGTGCCCTCTGGTCAAAGGCCCCATGCTGCTGCAGGCCTGACTTCTATTTGGTTTTCAGATAGAGGACCTATAGTGGCAACTGTAAAAATTATCTGTATTTGTACATAGAGCTAAAACCAGGGGAAAATGTAGTAAGAGATGTTCTTTTCAAAATAACTATAAGTTACATAAAGTTACATAAAATATCTGGGAGTTAACATACCAAGATACATGCAATATTTATGTAAATACAACTACAAAACATTTTTTATAGAAATAAAGAAAGATTTAAATAATTGATAACATTTCTGATCATTGGGCCATGCTAATATAACAAAAGTGACAGTATTAACTAAATTATGGATTTAGAGCTCTGTCAATCAAATTACCTAGGGGAAACTTCATAGGATTATGGGAAACAATAACAATTCATTTAGTGAAACAAAAGACCTAGAGTCTCAAAGGAAATAATGAGAAAAGTGTGAATAAAAGGGGCCAGATCTCATTAAGACTATCCTAGTACCAGGAAAAAAAAATAGAAAAATTGATCTGTCAATTCACAGGTTAGAGAAACTAGGAATAGACACACTTAAAAATAGTAGGTCCATGTCTGATAAATTTAAGAACTTAAATTACTGGTGGAAAGACCCCCCTTTTCGACGTGAACTTTGAAAAGAAGTTCCAAATTGAAACTTTGAAAAGAAGTTTGGCAAAAATGAGATTTATAACATCTTACATGATATACCAAACTTAGTTCAAAATGAATATGTGACGTGAATATAAAAGATTATATCATTTTTAAAAATGAGAAGAGAATGGGAGGAAGTACCTTTGACTACCATGACTATGGGGAGAATTCTTCTTTTTTTATTAATTTATTTAGATTAATCAACAATCACTTCCATAAGCTTTTGAGTTTTAAATTTTTCTCCCCCTCCCTCCCCACCTTCCTCCCCAAGAATGTGTGAAATCTGATATAGGCTATATATATACATTCCTATTAAATGTATTTTCACATTAGTGATGTTGTAAGGAAGAATTAGAACCAATAGGAGGAACCACCAGAAAGAAGAAACAAAATATAACAGAAGAAAAAAAATAGCAAATAGTATGCTTCCATCTGCATTCAAACTCCATAGCTCTTTCTTTGGATGTGGATAGCATTTTCCATCATGAGGCCTTTGGAGATGTCTTAGATCCTTGTATTGCTGAGAAGGGTTAAGTTTATCAATATTAGTCATTACATAACGTGGCTGTTACTGTGTACAAAGTTCTCCTGGTTCTGCTCACTTCACCCAGCATCAGACCATACAAGTCCTTCCAGGTTTTTCTGAAGTCTGCCTGCTTATCATTTCTTATAGCACAGTAGTTTTCTATTACATTCATATACCACAACTTGTTCAGCCATTCCCCAATTGATGTGCATCCTCTCGATTTCCAATTCTTTGCCACCACAAAAAGAACTGCTATGAATATTCTTGTACATGTGAGTCCTTTTCCCATTTGTATGATCTCTTTGGAATATAGCCCTAGAAGTGTTATTGCTGGGTCAAAGGGTATGTACATTTTTATAGCCCTTTGGGCATAGTTCCAAATTGCTCTCCAAAATGGTTGGATCATTTCACAACTCCACCAACAATGCATTAGTGTTCCAATTTTCCCACATCTTCTCCAACATTTATCATTTTCTTGTTTTGTCATCTTGGCCAATCTGATAAGCGTGATGTGGTACCTCAGAGCTGTTTTGATTTGCATTTCTCTAATCAATAGTGATTTAGAGCATTTTTTCATATAACTATAGATGGCTTTAATTTCTTCATCTGAGAACTGTCTGTTCATATCCTTTGACCATTTACCAATTGGGGAATGACTTGCATTCTTATAAATTTGACTTAATTCTCTATATATTTTAGAAATGAGGCCTTTATCAGAGAGACTTGTTGTAAAAATTCTTTCCCAATTTTCTACCTTCCTTCTAATCTTAGTTGCATTGGCTTTGTTTGTGCAAAAAACTTTTCAATTTAATGTAATCAAAGTTATCCATTTT